TGGAGCAGACGCGGCCCGGCTCCTGGCTCGCCTGGTGGTCCCGGTGGTCCAGGGGGTCCAGGCGGTCCAGGCGGTCCGGGAGGGCCAGGCAGTGTAGATGCGGCCCCCTCTCCCGGTTCGCCTGGAGGTGCCGGAGGTCCTGGTGGCCCGGGAGGTCCTGGAGGTTCCGACTCGCCTAATGGGTCTCCTTCTGCTGGGTCTCCCGGTGGTCCAGGTGGTCCAGGTGGCCCAGGCGGCCCCGGTGGCGCTGGCGGGTCTGGTGCGCCAGAAGAACTCGGCCCTGGCTCCGCTGGCGGCCCCGGGGGCGCTGGTGGTCCTGGAGGTCCCGGCGGTGCTGGCGGATCCGGCGGATCTGGCGCCATGGGACCGGGTGGCGCTGGTGGCGCTGGTGGCCCAGGCGGACCGGGAGGGCCTGGCGGCGCTGGGGCGCCATCCCCCGGCGTTTCCGGCGGCGAGACTGCTCCCGGTGCGGGCGGCGCGGGCGGCCCCGGTCAGTGGACGATCCTCCAGTTTAAGCGCGTCTGCGACGGCTCCGACTCGTCCTGCCAGGTCTCCTTCGGCGTTGACCGCAACGACGGCACCCCTCCGACGCCCTGCAGCTTCGTCCAGGCGGGCGGGTCCAAGGCGCGCGTCCTCGAGTCGTCGCCCAAGCAGTGCGGCAAGTACACGGTCAGCTCCGGCTGGAGCGGGCAGTTCGGGCCCGGCCACGGATTCACCACCCTTTCCGTCATCGACAAGGCGCAGAAGCTCATCGTGTGGCCTGCCTACACCGACGCCCAGCTCGCCGGCATGCAGACCGTCAAGCCGGACCAGAGCTACCCCCAGCACACCCTCCCTTAAAAGACTGCTGACTGAAGCGACACAACATTTACAATCACAAACTTCACATCCTTCCCCTACAGCACATTTGTATCCCTTTCAGGCCTTTGAAGCAGGGCATGTATTAACATACCATCATCACATGGTCTGTTTCTGATCCAGACCCGGGTTAGAGGTTAGGCGTTCCGGTTTGCTAAAACGTTGGACCAAGCATTTACACAGCGATTTGGAGCATACGCATACGGAGTTCTTATTATTCTCATTGTTCTTTTTATACCAATTCTGTTTCTTTTTCCTTCTGCTTGCCTTGCTGCCGCTTGCTTCTCTCTTCATGTTTTCTCCCGTGTTTTATGTTCGTATTTCGGATGGGTCTTGAAGCACACGGTGGCGTTTGTATTTTTTTGGGCTGGCAGCATCAAAAATTCCTCTCGGTTCCCCCCACGGGGCCTTTGAGTTAAGCGTTGGAAATCTGCGTCCGTATTTTCCCTCCACTTATATCCCAAACCGTTCATGCTACACACGATGTCTCCCAATGGAACTTGGAACTAGATAGGCACCCCCACCGCAAAAGAATGGCAGCTTTACAAGTCCAAAGATTAGGATTGTTTTGCCATAACCTTTACTGTTCTTGTGTTATTCCTGTTGTTATTCTGTCGTTATTCCTGTCCTTCTCTTTCCACATCCCGATTCCTATTCCTGGGGTGTCAACGGAATTTGAAGGGAAGGTGCGCTTTAAAACAGGCAGCTGCTATCATCAGCTGGTCGTCACGCTTGTTTGCATCTGCCGCCACCCGACTTTTTTCCAAAACACCAGCAACTTTGACTCGATTTCCTCTCCCCCAATCCAACAGTGACAGCCATCCAACCGCCCTGTCGTTGATACAATGGATCGTCTCAAATCCACATCGAAAATTGCACAGAACCATGGGAGCACCCTCGCGTCCCCCATCGAGGTTTGCGAGATCCCCGGCCGGGGCATGGGCGTGGTTGCCGTCGCCGGAATTCGAAAAGGCGTAAGGATCATCTGCGAGGAGCCCCTCCTCGTTTCCGACTGCCACCCCGACCCAGCCGCGCTGAACGACCTGATCGCCGTCAAGCTGAGGCAGATGTCGTCCCGCCGCCAGCGCGAGTTCCTCTCCCTCCACAACAAAAATCTCGGCGGCCCGTACCCGCTCGCTGGGACCTTTGATACCAACTCGATCCCGCACGGCGACGGGGGCGCCGTTTTCCCCACCGTGTGCCGCCTCAACCACAGCTGCCTGCCCAACTGCTTCACCGCCTGGAACGATACGCTACGCCGGCAGACCGTTCACGTCGTCCGCAACGTCAGGCGCGGCGAGGAGCTCACGCTGCAGTACCACAGCGCGGCGCACAAGAGCCGGCGCGCCTACCTGCACGCGCACTTTGGCTTCTGGTGCGACTGCCCGACCTGCATGCAGCCGCCCGCCGAGATATCACTGTCGGACGCCCGACGCCTCTGCATCGACCGGCTGATGGGGGACATCTCGGACGCCGGCCGCGTCGCGTTGGACCCCAACGCCGTGCTGCTCGACTGCCGGGCGCTGTGGAGCCTGGTCCACGTCGAGTACCGCGGCGCCGTCATGGGGCTCGAGGCGCACGCCTGCTACGTGGCCGCGCAGGTGTGCCAGGCGCACGGCGACTGCGCGCGTGCGTCAAAGTTTGCGGGCCTGGCAGCCCTGGCGCGCGCCGAGTCCGAGGGGGCCGACTCGCCCGCCGCGGCCAGGATGGCGGCCATCGGCGTCGACCCCAGCGCCGTGCTCGGCGTGCCCGACGGCGGCCCCGCGGTCGCCGCCTGGACGAACCCGCTCTCACTGGTTCCGCCCCGCAAGTACCCGCGCGCGCTGGGCGAGATCTGGCTATGGCGCCAGGGCACTGAGGATGAGGGCTTTGACGAGGGCCGATACCTGCGAGGCCGCGTGTGATGGATGGGAGCTGCTGGGCTTCGAAAATAAGAAATCGGAAACAGAAAAGGAACTAGATGTTCGTCATCTGCTTCTGGTCGAATTGGTATTTCTATTGAAGATGAGGGTGGTTCGAGGAGTGGTGGAGACAGTCAAAATGAGGTCCGTCGATACTTCCAACGCTTGATATCCAAAACAAGGCCGCTAGTCTTAAAATTGGCCGCGAAACTCCGCCGCAGCTCGAAATTCCACGTGCAATGGTATATAGACATATCTAAACGTAGAGGATATAGCCGACTGAATTTCAGGTAGAGCAAATTTGTAGTAGGGGTTGGGGTAACGACAAGAGAAGGATTTGAGTTTACGGCCTGGAGGATATTCATCTCCCGCTAGTCTCGCTAGTCTCGACATTGTCGACCTTCTCCGACCCGTCGGCATTGAACAACGTCTCCTGGGCTGCAGTGTAAAAATGCGGGGTCAGCAACGCACATGGTCTCAGACTAATGGAGGGAAGGGCGTTGATAGATAGAAAACGCTAAAGTAACTGTACTCACCACTCCAGAGCTCCGAGTAGAGGCCGCCGCGGTCGATGAGCTCCTTGTGCGTGCCCATCTCGGCGACGCTGCCCTGGCGCAGGACGATGATGAGGTCCGAGTCGTAGATGGTGCGCAGGCGGTGCGCCACAAAGACGCTCGTGCGCGCCTTCTCGCGCAGGATCGAGTTGATGTTCTGCATCAGCGCCTGCTCCGTGTGCGTGTCGAGCGCGCTCGTCGCCTCGTCGAAAAAGAGAAGCGGCGGGTCCTTGAGAAGGAGCCGCGACACGGCCAGGCGCTGCTTCTCGCCTCCCGAGATCATCAGGCCGCGCTCGCCGACCTTGGTTGCGTATCCTTCGGGCCACGACTCGACGATGTCGTGTATACGGGCCCGCTGCGCCGCCGCAATGACGCGCTCGCGGGGCGCCGACAAGTCGCCGTAGCGGATGTTGTGCTCGACAGTGTCGTTGAATAGAGGGGTATCCTGCGGCACGACTCCTATGCTGCGGCGCAGCGAATCGAGCGTGACGGAGCGCACGTCCTGGTCGTCTATCAGGATGCGGCCCGACTGGGCATCGTAAGAGCGGAATAGCAGGCGGAGAAGCGTCGACTTGCCACATCCGCTGGGCCCAACGACGGCAACCTTCTTGCCCGCAGGGATGGTGAGGCTCAGGTCGCGCAGGATAGGCCGGTCTGGGTGGTAGCCAAACGACACCTTCTCGAACCGGATCTCGCCGCCCTTGGTCAGGGCCAGAGGTTTGGCGCCGGGCTGTTCGGCGATGGAGACGCTGACTTTTTGCAGGTTAAAGAGCGTTTCCATGTCCAGAAGGGACTGTCGCAGCTCGCGATAGACGGAGCCGAGGAAATTGAGCGGCACCGACAGCTGGAAGACGAGCTGGTTGATCATGACGAGGTCGCCAACGGTCAGACTGCCCTGAGCAATGCCGTTCGCACCTAGATACATCATGGCGGTAAGTGCGGTTGAGAATATCACATTCTGGCCGCTGTTGAGAAAAGCGAGCGAGGTAGCGACCTTGATGGAACTCTTCTCGTACTGCCTGAGAGCGTCATTATAGCGGCCAACCTCGTACTTTTCGTTGTTGAAATACTTGACGGCCTCGAAGTTGATGAGCGAGTCGACGGCGACGGTCGAGGCACGGCTGTCGGCGGCGTTGGCCTGGCGGCGGAACTTGGTCCGCCATGCCGTGGTCCAGATGGTGAAAGCGGTATAGGCGGACATGGTGACAGCGGTTATGGCAGCAAACTTGGCACCGTACTGCCAGGTCAGGATGCCACAGACCATGCTTATTTCGAGGGCGGTGGGGATGACATGGAAAACCATGCTGGTGAGCAGGAAGCTGATGCCCTTGGTACCGCGGTCGATGGCGCGGGTCAGGCCGCCCGTCTGCTTGGACAGGTGGAAAGACAGATCGAGGCGGAGCAGGTGGTCAAAAACGTTTGTGGCTACGCGGCGGATGGCCTTCTGGGCAACCGAGGCAAAGACAGCATTGCGGAGCTCCTGGAAAATAGTTGCGCCCACACGGGTGGCGCCGTAGGCCAGAATCATGGTGCCGGCCACCGTGGCCGCGGTACCGCCAGCGCCAGCCATAAGAGACGGGTCGATGTTCATGGCGTCGACAATGCTCTTGAAGTAGAAAGGCACCTGGACGTTGAGCACCTTTGCGCTGATGAGAAGTGACACAGCCAGCCCAACACGCAGCTTGGTGCCCAAGCTGTCCTTGGGCCACAGGTAATGTGACATCTCCTTGATGATGGCCCAGTCGGCCTTGCGTTGCTCCTGGTTCGTCTTGTCGGGAGTGGCTAGAGGATCTTTGGAGGCTGTCGAGGCGCTAGTTGCCGCGGTTGGGATCGCGGTCTTGGAGATGGAGGCCGGGCGGGCGGCATCCCTGACGGAGGGCGAGGTCGGCGCCTTCGGCCGGGGCATGGATGTCATCAGGGCGCGGACTGAGCCGCCTGGCCTCTGCGGAATCCATCGCGGCGACCTATGAACGAATTTGGGAACAGCTCTCGGACAGCTGGAGAGCAGCGCCGTGCTCCTCAAATTCCTTGTGATCATCTTCGGGTGCGTCGCGGACGGCTGCTGGTCATCTTGGGCGTGGGGATCGAGGTTGCGGGATTTCGGACGGGGCGCGAACCCCTCGAGGGGGCAATTTGGGGGTCAAGAGGCCCTTCTTGGATCCTACAGGGCCGAGCGGCGAAAGTTGATGGTGGAGTGGCCCAGTTGCGTCGGTAGGGCTTGTCGTAGAGTTGTCGAGGCGGCAGCAGACTTTGAAGCTCGGAGGCGACTCTCGATGCTGTTCCGTCGCGTGCGTTGATGCCTTGGTGGGGAGCTCGCGCGTGCGCAATGATGCAATTGGGCTGTGGGCCTGTTACGAGACTCAGATTCAATGCGCCAATCCCAAATTGGGTTTAGCGCTTGATAGGCTCACCCCGCCTCCGCCTTCCCACTTGGCCTTGAACGCCCGGGCTAGGTTGCCAGTGGCACAGCATTGGATTTGCGTCCATTGCAGAACCCAATCGGCTGCCAAATGCTTGACTGCCCAACAAGCGCAACTAATCGACATGGAGCGGCACGGTATCCTGTCAAATTCGATGCGTGTTCGAATTACGGCAACGACTCGGCCATGATTGAGATCCATCCAACGTTCTGCGCCCTTGGTGCCACCCACCGGCTCAGGGGCTAGCGATTCGAGTGCCTCGAATCATCAATCATGACTCCATGCCGTGCGCCACAGCGCTTGTGCCCTGACGGCGAGCCTATCTCGCGCTCGCCTGCTTACTCTCTCTTGGCCTGATCGGAACTGTTGTGCTGCGGTATTGGCGCCAATCCAGAGCCGAAAGGGGCATGTCGAGGCTTATCTCACAGCCCATGGCGCTCTGGCGGGTGGATGGGTGCTGCGGCTTGCCCACCGCTTACTCTCGCAGGGCCCGCCTGCGCTTGTGCTATGTCAATTGGATACCTATTGTACCAAGCCATTTGCGCACTAGCGAATGGCTGACATTTGCAGGCCCGATTACTCTCCATGTCAAGACATCTTGGGGCTGGGGTTTGTTGCCGTGCGGCCACGAGCGCGGCGTTGTTCACTATCGCCGATTCTACGTGTTTGTCTGCCGTCCACCCTGGCAATGGACCCTGAGCTGTTTTTTTCCTGGACCAGCCGTATCTCTCTCAGCTGGTATATATCACACTCCTTGGAAGACCAACTCCAAACCCTTGATCCATCTCTCATCATTAGCCTCGCCTTCGACCATAACTCAACCCTCCACCTCTTCTCAGCAACCGCCCTTTCTCTTGGCTTCCGTAGCCTTGCCTCTTCTTCTTCTACTCTTTGGTCCATCGACTAACCTCTTCCCGACTACCCCTCCCTTCCTCCAAACACCACCTTCCGATCCAGCAATGCTTTGCCGGGCCTCTCCCGCATTGTCCTGCTTGTTAGCCCTGCCTGCGCTCATTTCGGGCGTGCAGGCTGGCTGGAACCCAGGGGCCAAGAACAACCTGATGGTTTACTGGGGTCAGAATTCTAACGGTGGTGGCCAGCCACAAGATCTGAAATTGCTCTGCGATGATCCAGCTGTCAGCGTTATCGCTGTTTCTTTCCTCACTGACTTCAACCCTCTCAAGCTCAACCTTGCCTCGAACGAGGCCGGATGTACCAAAATGTCCGGTGGCATGATCAAGTGCCCCTCAATCGAGAAGGACATCAAGTACTGCCAGGGGAAACAGAAGACGATGCTGCTTTCCCTGGCCGGCGGCGAATACAAAGGTAATGGCTGGGGCAGCGCCGAGGAGGCCAAAAAGACCGCCACCAATGTCTTCGACCTCTTTGGCCCCGCCGGAAAGGTCCCAGAGGCACAGCGTCCCTTCGGAAGCGTCGTTATGGACGGCTTCGATTTTGATTTCGAGCATGAGACCAAGGGTCTCCTACCGTTCGCGCAGCAGCTTCGCAAGCTCGCTGATGGCGCAAAACTCATCCTGGGCGCAGCCCCGCAGTGCCCCTTCCCTGACGCGACTCTCGGTCCGGTCTTTTCGGGCGGCGTCAAGTTCGACCTGGTCGCGATCCAGTTCTACAACAACCCCGGCTGCGGCCTCGTGGCTTTCAAGGGGCAAGGCGGCAAGAAAGACGCCGGCAGCACCTACAACTTCGAGCAGTGGGCAAAGTGGGCCAAGACCGAGGGCCAGCAGACCCACCTCCTCGTCGGCGCCCCCGCGATCGAGAAGGTCGGCGGCGGCGCCGTCAGCCCCGCGCAGATGAAGCCCATCATCGAGTACTCTGCAACCTTCCCCGAGTTCGCCGGCGTCATGGTCTGGGAGGCTACCGAGGCCATCAAGAGCGGTTTCATCAAGGGGGTCGCCCCGAGCCTTGCTGCCGCTGGCGGCGGCGCCGGTGGTAGCCAGACCCCAGCATCTGGCGGTGGCAAGACCCTTGCCGCTGGCGGCAGCAAGCCCAAGAAGCCCGCGAACGCCCCTGCCACCGCCCCCGCCGCCCCGGCCACGCCCGCGGCGCCCGTCGCTCCCGGCGCGGCCGGCACCTTCGACCCCACCCTCGCCCCGCCGGGCCTGGCCCTGCCCGAGAGCCAAAAGCCCATCGGCGGC